AATTACAGACAATTACAGGGAAGGGCAGGATGCTGTGGGAGCACCTCGGAAATATACCAGCCTGAGGGTCAGGGCAGTTTCTCCAAGCTGACATCTAAACTGAGAGTTGGAATATGAGTAGAAGTTAGCCAGGTGAGCTGTGGGGGTGGGGTGAGGTGAAGTGGCCAGGGTTGCAGACAGAGCAAAAAATGTATGCTAGGGCTGTGGGAGGGGTACTTGGCATTGCGTTTGTGAATTACAAAGGCTGTGTGTGCAGTGGGATGGCCCTGCCCTGACAAATGGTGTGGAAAGGGAGAAGAAAGTGAATCGGGGGCTGGAACGGGGACCCTGATCAATGAGGCCCAGAGCTGAGGAGCAGCAGAACCCAAGAGCAGTTTCTGTGCTTCAGGGTTCCTGGAGACAGGAAGTTTGTATACCAGGCCCTGGAGCCCCGCCTGGCCAGCGTCAGGCCTGGATTCCAGAGGCCACAGTGCCCTCTAGTGTCCACAAGCCCATCTTGCAGCCTTCATCTCTGTGGATTGTGTCTCCTACCAACACCTTACTGACTTGTGTGTCTGGGTGCCCTGTGTTAAACGATGGGGACACTGAGATGAATAAGACAGAGCTCCTGACCCAGAAGAGGCGACAGACAGTGCTGAGAGAAGTACGGGGTGGGAAGGACACAGGGGAGGGGTCAGAGCAAGTTCCCAGAGGACCACAACATCTGAGAACATGGGAGAACTAAAGAGGTGGGGTGGTGGCAGTGGGGGCGGGGTCGTGGGGAAGGGCCTTTTGAGTGGAGGGAAGGCACAGACAAGGATAGGCTGACAGCAGAATGACAGAGAATTGCAAGCACTCCTGTCTGGGTGAAGCACAGGGTGAAGATGGGGGAAGGCTGAGACTAGCTGGAGATGGGAGGTAGGGGCTGGCTCACAGAAGGTTCTAGGATGCCTTGCAGTTGCTCGGCTTAGGCACTTTTGAATATTCTTATAGAAAGAGCTTCTCTGTTCTTTTGGGATCACAAACCCATCTGAGATCTGATGAAAGCTATGCTCTCCCTGGAAACATGCTGTTATGCATTAATATTTGTCATACAGCTTCAGGGGCTTCTGGGACACCCCGTATGCCTATCCATGAACCACAGGCTGCCAAACTGTTCTTAGCATACATACTAAAACTTTATGGGGCCTCCTGCACGATCGGGCCCTTACCCACATCTCTAGTCTCACCTTTCTTCTCTTTGCTTTTTCCATTCAACCCCTTTGGCCTCTTTGCAGTTCCTGGAAATACCTCCTCAGGTCCTTTGCCCAAGTTGTTTCCTCTGCCTGGAACATTCTCTCCTGCTACCTCAGCTTTTGCCCAGCTTAACTCCATTAGTTGTTGAACATCTGTTTCCTCTCAGTCGAATATAAGCTCCATGAGATCAGGACACTGACTACCCTTAGTCATGCTTGTCCAGCCCTCAGCCCAGTGCCTGGTCTGCAGGCTCTGTGAACAAGTGAATGAAGGCCTGGCCAGTGCCCTGTGGCCAGGTCAACGTCCTCACCCGTAATTCCTTCTTCCCTTCAGTCTCTGGCGGGTCATCACGAGTCTACCCAACATGTTCACATAGTCTGAATTCCAAGAGTGGCCTGGATTAAGAGAGATTTCTCCAGCCATTGTCCCACCCCCGAAACAAACAGCCTTCCCATGGGTCTCTCTGGCGTCTCTGGGAGAAGGGTCAGTCTAAGGCTTGAGCTGAGTTACTTCCTCATGTGCTAATTCATCTCACAAGAACCGTGAGGCAGAAATAACCACTTGTCTTTTATAGACGAACTAGGGGCCCAGTGCATGGATTCGTGCACCAGTGGAGTCTCTCAGCCTGGCCTGCAGGGATTGGGCCAAAACCAGCCAGGTGCACGGATTTGTCCAGCTCATGTCTGGCCCGTCTTGCCCAGTCCTGATCAGCCAGACCCCAGCATCAAGCTAACCTACCAGTTGGAGCATCTACTTCCTGGTGGTCAGTGCACGTCATAGCAACTGGTTGAACAATCGAATGAACTGTCAGACACTTAGCATATTAGGCTCTTATTATATAGGATAAATTGAGCCTCAGAGGGGTTACCAGCTGAAAAGTGGTTGACCTGGGACTTGTACTCAGCTCTCCCGGGCACCAAAATGAAGGTTCTTGGCCTCACCAGAGAGGGGAAGGGACTTGCCCAAGGTCACACAGCATCAGCTTTAGGGCCAGGACTGGAATATCTTTCTCTCAGCTCCTGCCAGGCCAAGAGGCGGGTTGGGCCAGAGGTGCAGCTCTTAGCACAGTAACTGCAAATGGGCACCAGGTGCAGCTACGTCAGGAACTAGAGTTGCTGAAGGAGAGAGAAAAGAACAGACACTGAGTCCAGAGAACCAAGGATCTTTAGGGGTGGGCAGAGGAGGCCACAAAGGGCCTATAGATGCCAACTTTGTGGTGGTTTGGAGGGCCTATCTCTCTCAGCAGCTTTGGCTTTCTTGAGAGGAACCAGCTGCCCCAGCAGGGAGGCAGGAAGGCTGGCCTGTTGCCTGTCAGCTCCTATTCCTTCTAGATCACTGGCCCCCTGGCCCCTCCCAGGGCTGCCTTCTGCTCAGAACAGCCAGGGGCCTGGGCTCTGGGGCAGTGAAAGGACAGGGATGCTCTGAGCTGGATCTGGGGTGCTCTTCAGGAGCCCCGCATCCTTCAAATCCTCCACATTCTCTCCTTTGGCCAGCCCCGCCCATTCTGTGGTAGGTAATTGGGGAGTCAGGGCCTAGGTCAGTGATGGTGAACCATTTGAGCTTGGCGTGTCAGCATTTTGAAAAACCCTAACTTAACTCTGGTGCTGTGTCACATATAGAAATTTTTTGATATTTGCAACCATAGTAAAACAAAGACTTGTATTTTTGATATTTATTTTATATATTTAAATGCCATTTAACAAAGAAAAATCAACCCAAAAAATGAGTTCGCGTGTCACTTCTGACACACGTGTCATAGGTTCGCCATCACTGGCCTAGGTTCTAGTCTGCCCAGCTGTGGGAACGTCAGTAAGACTCTTTTTTCCCCTCCCCAGGCCTCTTCCCAGGCCAGGTGGGGCCACTTCCTTGGAAAAACAGCCTCTTGATTGTGAAGGGCATTTCTTCTGATTTTTGTCCTTCTTTGCAGGGAGTTTTTCTCTCAGCCAGCCCAGAAAGCAACACCCAATGAGTGAGGACTTATTGCAGTGCTCAAGAATATTGGCCAGGGCCAGTCCGATTTCCCAAAATGTGTGATTTGAATTTTACATGATCCGGAGCATCCCAGAACAACCAAATGGTCTCTTTAGCTGTGCTCAAGATGAGGGTGTGGGAAAAGGCCTCTATGGAAAGGTTGCTGTGTTCACAAGGCAGCGATATGGCTGAAGGGACAGATTCCAGGTTTGGAAATGGCCAAACCAGGTCCTGATCTTGGGATTCTGCCACCTCCTGACTGTGTGACCTGTGCCGTGGTGCCATCTCCATTTTCTCTTCAGAACAGTACTGTTGACACATACTTGACAGGGTACTTGGGTGGAGGTGCACATAGGGAGCCCAGCCTGGGGTTTGGCCCATCGGAGCCACTGTGGGCTCGCAAACCTGCTTCCTCTTACCAGGACTTCCCAGCCCTCCTGGGGGAGCAAGGGAAGGAGCAAAGTTTCCAGTTGCAGTCTGGCCTACAGCCCAGCTGGCCTGGCCCCGCCTCTTTGGTTCCTCCTTCTAGGGAAGGGCTGGGGAGGAGGGTTTGGTGACACGGTGGAGGCACCGCCCAGGGCCAGGGGGCCTGCCCTCCGGACAGGTCCGGATCCATGGAGCCCCCCGGGAGGAGTAGCAGGTAGGAACCTGGGTCCCCGCAAACCCTGCAGCCTGACGCCGTCCCTTCCTGCTCAGGCCTGGACCTGGTTCCTGGGCTGCTGATTCAGCAGCCTCCTGGCTTCCTGGTTCCTGGCTCCCCTCTTGGACTCTTGGAGGCCTTTGGCTTGGGGGAGGAAGCCAGCTCCAGTGGGTAAGCCCATGGACATCAGGGTGCCCAGCACCTTAAAGACCCTGGAGACCCAAGCAGCACAGTCTGTGGCCGGGAGGGGTGTGATTGGTAGCTGATCTGGGGTGCTAGCCTGGCCCAGCACTGCAGGGCTCCAGATAACTGCTGAGATTCGTTGATAGCAACATTCCAGCAGCTGAAGAGTCTCTGAGTCTTAGGATTAAGGAGATAAGGAGCCGAGAACTTGGGCGAGAACTTGGGCGGGTGACTGGCACATGGGTAGCAGTTGAGACTGTCATTCTGGTGCTGACGATGATTCAGAGTCTCTGATAAGAAGAGTCGCAAATTCCAAGATTCTAAAGGTTCTAAGATTTGGGTATCCGCCAATGTGCAGCAAGTGAGATAGTGGGCAGCTGGCCTAGCCTGCAGCCACATCTTCAGGCCTTTATTTGGGCTCTTGAATGCCAGGCCCTGACCACAAGCAGCCTCCAGGGGCGTAGGGGGGCAGGGGCTGGCTGACCAGGAAGGGCCCGCTCCACTACCAGCATCTGTCTCGTGCTGGGTAGGGGCGGGGCCAGACCCTCAGCCTCACCACTCCCCTCTTTTCATTCCCTGGACTTCAATCATGGGAAGCAGGAGGCAGAGGGGCCTTTGGACCCTGCTGTAGGGGTGGGAACACAGTGCTGGGGGGCAGAGTGTGGGCCCTGCCCAGGGCTGGGGGTGCAGCACTGGCCTGGGAAGCTCAGACTTCTGCTCCTTGGAACTAACCTGTCCTCTGGCTAGCTGGGCCCCACTCGCCCACTCACCCCCTAGTCCCATCCTGTCACCAAGACCACTGAGACCTTGTCAGCTCTCCTCCGCCCTCTCCTCTCCTCTCCTCTGGCACTCTCTGCCTCTCCCTGTCTTCTCTCTGTGTTCTTTGTCTCGCCCTTTCTCTGTCTTCCTCTTTCTCTGTCTTTCTCCAGTTCTGTCTCACCCTTTCCTTGTCTCTTTCGGTTTCTGGCTGTCTTTCTCCCTCTCCTCCTACAGTGTTTCCTCCACCCACCTGGCCTGGGCTCTTCCCCCTTTGGACCCAGAGCTCCTCCTCTCTCTATCCCTCCCCTTATCGTGAGGAGAACCCTATAAGGGGGAGCCCCCCTACATATTTTGCCTTTCTCTTTCATCCCCCTCCCCCTCCCCCTCTTTCCTACTCGTGTGGCGTCTGGTGTGAGGAGGGCTCCCTTCCCCCTTCCCTGCTGTGGTGTGCCAGTGTCTCCGTGGCCAAGGTCCCCACGGAGTCACCTGGAACACAGGAGGCCCAGCCCAGCTCTTTTGTCTCTGCTGCCCCCTGTTGTCGTTGTGTTCTGTTTGTGGTTCGAGTGCCGTCCTCTCTTTCTTGACTTTGTGGTTTTTTCTTTTTTTCTTCCTTCCTTCCTTCCTTCCTTCCTTCCTTCCTTCCTTCCTTCCTTCCTTCCTTCCTTCCTTCTTTCCCTCCCTTTCTCCGTTTCCTCCCTCCTTTCCTCCTTCTTGCCTCCCTGCCTCGCACCCTTCCTCTTCCATCCCCTATCCTCCATCACCCATGCCTCTCATCTTCCCTTTCCCCCTCCCCCACTCACTCACCTCACTGTCCCCATTCCCCACCCTGCCTCTCCCCCACCGTCCCTTGTCTCTCTCTGTCTCTCTTTCTCTGTCTCTTGCTGTCTCTCAGGTCCACAGCGTCTCATACTCTACACCAGTATTGCTGTCCTACTCAGGTCCTTGACTCCATGAAGCTTACCCCCTCAGGCAGGCTGGCAGAGAGCAGGTAAGAGCTAGACCCATCCCTCCCCCAATCCTTCACGGTGCAGACAAATAGGCAAAAACATTGCCACACCCTCCCCTTATCTCCCGCCCCTGGAGTGACTGTGGCATGGGTGGCAGAGCGCGTGTGAGGAGAATGATTGGGGGACCAGGTTAGGAGACCAAAGAGGACATTCAGCACCTGTTTATAGTTTGTCTGCCTTAAAAATTCTTCCCTAGATACCTGTCACCAAAAGCGGGAGTGTTTGGCCCTAGAATATGTAACATTTGAACTGTTTTCAAAGGATGAGTAAGAGTTTGCCATTTGGATAAGATAGGGAAGGGTATTTAGGCAGAGGGAACAATCTGCCCACACCTTGGGAGAACATTAGTTCCAAGTTAATTGGAAAACACATTTTACATTTTCTAATTATAATGCAATAAAATGAGATATTAATAGCAATGGCAAAAAGGCTAGGCCCATTTGAAAGTTTAAAAATAATTATGTTAAAGAGTAAAGAAGAAGGGAATTTATGGACTATTTAGAATAAATGCCAATGAGAATACTATATATCAAGGCCTATGGGATACCACTATGGGGTTCCCGGAGGAAAATGTGTGGTCTTAAATGTTTTTACCAGAGAACAAGACAGTTTAAATTGAATGAACTAATTATTCCACTCAAGAATGTAGAAAAAGAACAACCAAGTGAAAGCAGAATAAAATAATTACTGTAGATAAAAACCAGAAATTAGTGAAATAGAAAACGAAAGATTTGATTGACTAAGAGGTAGGTTTTGAAAAGGCCAGTAAACTGGACAGATTGTCCTCTGGCAGATATGTTTGAGAAAAGGCAAGAAAACATAAAATAATCTATGATAAAAGCCCAGATTCTAAGGAGACAATAAATGTCATAAGAAAATGCTTTGTATAATTTTATTCCAGTAAATGTGAAAATCTAGATGAAATGGGTGGTATTGTAGGAAAATATAAATTACCAAATGACTTAAGAAGTGGCAGAAAACCTGAGCAGAATAGAATAAGTTTAAAATATGGCCAAAAAGAAATTTTCTCCTCAGAAATAGTACCAGGCCCAATTGGTATGGAAGTTCTATAGAATCTTGAATGATTGAATGATAATAGGAAAAGACTGGCAGCTTCCCAGTTCATTCCAGAAGGATTAGTGTATGTATATATGTATACACACACACACAAACACATACACACTAGAGGCCCAGTGCATGAATTCGTGCACCCGTGGGGTCCCTCGGCCTGGCCTGTGGGATGAGGCCTGAACTGGCTCTCCGACATCCCCCGCGCTCCCCCTGTGGGAGCGCACTGACCACCAGGGAGCAGCTCCTGCATTGAGCATCTGCCCCCTGGTGGTCAGTGCACACCATAGTGACTGGTTGAGCAGCCTTAACATATCATTAGCACATTACATTTTGATTGGTTGAATGGTCTACTGGTCAACCGGACACTTAGCATATTAGGCTTTTATTATATAGGACATAAAAATAATAAATAAAAATAAATAGAAGGCTAGTATAATTGGACAGGTTTAGACAAAAAGAGGAAAACTATAGTCTAATCTCACATATTAATAGAGTAACAAATATTTTAATTATCAAACTGAATCCATCAGTGTATTAAAAAAAGAATGTGTCATGACAAAGGAAGGCTTGTCCTAGTAGTGCAGGGATTGTTCACCATTGGGCAAGATGTTATTGTAATTAATTGCATTAATAGATTCAAGAGGGAAGATCCTATAACTATCTCCGTAAATGCTGGGAAAAATCATCTGATAAAATTACATATTCCTTCTTTTATTTATTTATTTATTTATTTTGTGTGTGTGTGTGTGTGTGTGTGTTTATTTATTTATTTATTTATTTAATTTATTCTTTATCGATTAAAGTGTTACACATGTCTCCTTTTCCCCCCATTGACCTACATATTCATTCTTGATTTAAAAACTCTTAGTGTCTTAGTTATCTTGCTGTATTGGGGTAATTTGTTAGACAGTAATAGATAACTAGTACAGTAAGCTAGGAATCAATTAAAACTTCCTTAACTTGGTAAAGAATTTTTGTCAGAAACCAAAGACAATCATCAAATGTAACAGGGAAGTACTAGGTAAATTTCCATTAAATTCAGGAACAAAATAAGGATGACTGCTATAACTGTCTTTAGCCATTGTTTTTCTGGAAGCTAAACCAATGGAATTTTTAAAAAATAAGTGGTATAAATATTAGAAACAGAGTTGTCGTGATTTGAAGATCATATGGGCCTCAACTTAGATAAATAGAATAAAGCAAAAAATTATTATAACTAATAGGAAAATTCGGTGAGGTAGGTAGATACAGGATAAACATACACCTAAACTGCTTCTCTGAATACTAACAATAACTAATTAGAAGACATAATAGAAAAAGATTTCATTCACAATAGCAAAACAAAATTTATAAAATCCCTAGGAATTTACAAGAAATGTGAAATAGTTTTCTATAGAAAACTATAAAATTTCACACATACACCAAAAAAAACCCCAAAAACCCAAAAAACAAAACAAAAAAACCCACAAAACTATAAAATTTCATCAAAGGCTGTAAGGAAACTTGAATAAAACAAGAGTCCTATCCTATTCCTGGATGGAAAGATTCAACACGGTAAAAATCACATTTTCCCCCCAATTTGGTCAAAAGGTTCAATGCATTTCTCATTCAAATTTCAGTGGTATTTTCTTTGAGAATTGGGCAATTGGATTTTGAAGTTCATTTGGAAGAGTAAATGCCCATGAATTACTAGGAAAAGTTTTTAAAAAGAACAATGAGGGGGCACTTGCCCTAGTTGATACAAAAAATTTACCATAAAACTGCAATAATTAGAAATATATCTTCACAAAATAGAGAGTTTAGAAACAAATCCAAATGTTCATATGGGAATTTAATTTAGGATAAAGAACACATTTCAAATCAGTGGGATGAGTCAGTAAATGGGATGGGATTATTGGCTACCACTTGGAAAAAAATAAATTAAACCCTTACCTCATACATAAACAAATACAAAAAATAAAGCTGAAAAGTTGCCAAAGGAAAATCCAGATTTTTTTTTTTCACATCTTGTCAATGTAGGGATTTTATTTTTTGCCTCCATGTGTTCTTTTTTTTAAAATTTATTTTTATTGTTAACTCCACCCGGCCGCCACCCCACCCCCTCACCCCAGGCATTCACCGCACTATTGTCTGTGTCCCTGGGCTAT